CTTTACTTTGGTTATGTTATAATACTGGTTGATAAGTTAATTACAGAACTGGAAGTAATCCTTCAGTTGTGACTCTGAAAGGGGATTTAAAACACCAGCCAGGTTTAAAGGTTGCTTGTTCTAGAAACAGACTTTCAATTATAAAATCTTTTGCATAAATCCGGGAAACTGTGCACCCTAGTGGCTTATTACGTTATCAGTCCCGGCGGCAAACAAGTTAGGACGTATAAAAGTAATATGAACGAAATCAGTTTTAAAATTAAACTTGCCCACTAATAAACATGTAAACTCATTTAGTGTTACAGGTGATGTTGTGCGACATTCCAGTCCGCATTCGTAGGGCATGCGAATGGTGAAAACACAAACGAAACCATTGAAAAATGTTTTTTCAGTCGTCCATGATGATTGCCCCGACGACTGAGTTCCAAGAGCGCTTGATGCCTAATGCTGGTGCTTGGGCTCTTTTTCCGTTGTCATCCGCCAGTTTGAATTGTTATGTAAACTACCGCTTTACTTTCGGTCTATTGCCGGTTTCCCGTCCTTCATCTCCTGTTCCTCCTTTTCCGTCCCTCACTTTCCATTCTCCGTCCTTCTTTCTCCTTTCCCAGTTCCTCGTTCCTCAAACGTCCCTCGGACGTAGGACGTTCCTCGAACGGTCCTCGTTCTCATCTGTTCCCCTTTCTCCATTCTTCGTCTCCCGTTCCCCGGTCCTCGTTCTCACCCATTCTTCGTTTCCGTTTTCCGTTCTTCGTTCTCCATTCTTTGTTCTCCATTCTTTGTTCTCCATTCTCCGTTTTCCGTTCTCCGTTCTACGTTCTCCGTTCTCTATTTCCCTTTCCCCGTTCTTCGTTCTCTATTCTCCGATCTCCATTATCCTTACTCCGTCTCCGTTCCTCGTTCCTCGTTCCTTGTTCCTCGTTCCTCGTTCCTCGTTCCTCGTTCCTCGTTCCTCGTTCCTCGTTCCTCGTTCCTCGTTCCTCGTTCTCTATTCTCCGATCTCCATTATCCTTACTCCGTCTCCGTTCCTGGTTCCTCGTTCCTCGTTCCTTGTTCCCCATTCTTCGTTCCTCGTTCTTCACTCCTCGTTCTCCGTTCCATCGTTCATATTCTTCGTTCCGCGTTCCTCGTTCTCCATTTCCGTTTCCCTCTTCCGTTCTTTGTTGTTCGTTCTCCTTTCCCGTTCTATATTCCCTGTTTCTCATTTAAATAACATCCTGGAAATATCTCGCTAAAATCGAATTATTTTCTTTGCTTCAACACGACACATCCAAATAAATTTAAAAGCGACAGATTAGAATCACAAAGAATTCTTCTAACTGATAGAACAGAATAAATTCCTCCGGCTATCCGAACTACTACCGTCGCTCGAGGGCTGATACTGATGGAGAGTTCTTTAATTTTCATTTTCATCACTTTTGTTGAAATTTTACTTTAATTACTTCAAGCAGGTAGACATGACATAAAGTGTGAATCTGTTTACTATGCAGTGATTTGCATACAATGATAAGCGAATGAAGCAGGTAAATAAAAAAATAACATAAGCTTGTCTTGGCTGTGCAATAACACAGAATGCGATGAAACTAAATGACAGGTTCTCTGAATTACCGTTTGATTCCGGTTCAGAATATAAAACAGGAGCAGGAAATAATTCAATATCGACAAGTAAATCTATTTTTATTGATTTCAGCCATGATAATCTGTAGCTTTACTTCAGTTCATTAATTCATTTGATCTGCTGCTGTAAAACTAGATTGTACAATTTTTGACAGGTGGCTCCATTCCACGAAAACATTATATTTCCATGCACTCCAATAATTAATATTCACACTTTGTCTGCGTCAATAATCGAATGCAAGATGACGGGTATAAACTGTGGGATATACTTCAAGGCGCCCGCGCCTTCAACCTAACAGTTTCTTGAAAATTGCACGTCAAGAAGAGTCTTCTAAATTCTTAAAAATTAACTTCGTTTTACGAAAAAGTAAAGGTTGCTTCATTATTCCAAATACAGTGACAGAAACACTTCCTCTTTGAAAAGTTCATCTACCCTATGTATACTTTTCCTTCATTCAAAGAGTGTTGGCTCTTGATTACATCAAGATTACATTTACTTTGTACTTTTATTCATGCTCTGAGCCAAAATTGCTGCCCGCTCTGCGATAGGCACAAATCCTTCCTCTTTCCTCCATTTTGTCAGTCTTGCTGCAAACCAGTTCTGGAAACAAACCACAAAATTTAGTTGCTGTGTCTTGTTGATGGGAAAATTGTAAGAAATGAAATCACCAAAATATGACAAAAACGCCCATCTTTAATTACATCTTTGCTCAGCTGGTTTAATTGAAAATGATTTTAATTAATATTCTGTGAGGCAAATGAGAAATTCGAAGAAAGATGTGAGTGGAAGAAAGATTCGTAGTTCATAATTTCAACGCCATGACAGAATTCAATACATTATCAATTTTAGCACCGTCAATTTAAAATATTGCCTTTCCTGGTTTTAAGCTCAATTTTTGTAATGATAGCACTTCTTCGAAAAATGTTCAAGAAAATTATTTTCAACCATAAAACGTTTGTTTTCATAGCGCATTTTGTAAAAGAAACCGAATTTTATTTGAGAATTTTGTAGTAAATCGTTTAAAAAGCTAACCTTAAGTATCGGTCGGTTGCTGGTTTAACTTCACCTATGTCGCAATATCCAGGCTCAAGAAACCACACTCTATTTACTCCTAACGCTTAGACTAATGGTTACTTTTCCACAAAAACTATCAATTTTACGTATACTTTGAACCTTTCGCTTCCCGGAATATGCACAATTCAATACCAAACGAAAAAAAAAAAGAAAAAGGAAAAAAACTGACTCGATTTTAATTTTCCTTTACAACTTTAAATGGTTTTTTTAGACTTTCCTGGCGCGAAATCTCAGTACGAAAAATTACAATGTTAAAAGTTAAGTGCGTGATTCTTTTAAGGTGATCTACAACGCGGAATGACCTAAAAAAGGCAAATAAATCTTCATACCTCTATTTCTTCTTCTGTGATACCAATGTCGGCAGCCAGAAGTGTCATACTCAATGAATCAGGATATCTACAAGATTTAAAAGCGTCCTCTAGAGCTGTTGATTTTTCTTTATCTTCGCCAATCCTTTTCATAATATCGGCCATGGTTTGGTTTCTCCTCGAGTAGTCAAAGCACTTTTTCGTGACAAGAGCCGGGATTTTTATGGTTTTGGGTTAGTCGCGTTAAAGCGGCATTTCTTTGACAGCGCTTTGACGGTTATGAAGCATCTACGAATTAAATCTTTTGTGCAAATTTTTTTCCTAAACAGGTGGCTTGCGGAGAACCGGATTGGTTGGTGTATACGATTCTTCCCTCATGTACATTATGTGTAGCGTCATATCATAATTTCATAACCGACCCTCGAATAAATAACGTTGGCATATGAAGGGAGAAAACTGAAAGCTGAGATGGACCGCGACTGATTATATTCTGAAAACGCTTACAAAAATTTGAAATTTTTAATGTTTCCTTCTGTAAGGGTATGAAACGAATTCTGGGGAAACAAAACTAGCTTAGTTTGTTTCAATAAAACCACATGATAAAATATGCAACAGAATCCGACACTTCGCCTTAATTTGGCTAACCAACATATTTGGGTACGATTTCGCTCCTACTTAGTCAATCAATGTAAATAACACTTACAAAAGACCCTCCATTACAATTAGTTACTGTGGATTTATCGTTTATTCATATTCGTCGAGTGAAAATCAACATTTATTTCCCCTTTTTTTTATTTGTGTTATCAATTAGTATAATTCAGACTAGATTGTCGCATATCTATCCCCGAAATATTTCAGTTTCAGAATGTATTGTTGAACATAAAAGGTGCTAATTTAGATAAGTGTTGAGTGGTGTTTCAAATTCTAGGCGTCCAAAAGTTCAAGAACCGAACAGAGCAGATTATTTCTGAGATAAATTTTCCAGATCGTAAATGTTAAAAGCTTTCATAACTCTACATTGAGCCCTAGGTGTTAAAATCATCCGGAGATGCTAATACAACAACTGTATACGCATTTTTTATTTCGGAGTAACAACATTATAAAGTTATTAAGAATAAATATGGTTTTGACAAAACCGCGTGAACACATTTCGTTTGGATGTCAGCAGACTTCCCACATTTTCTAAAGGTCCTCTATTATCCTCTTTCATGTACTATATCCCGGGATCCTTCCTGCGACAGGAAATAACTTCGTTTTAAATTGGTAGTTTTCTGGGACAGGCAGGGGGGTTGAGAGGATTTTAGTTGAGACAAGATCAAATTTACCTGATCCCTTCCCAAGACTCTGTAATATTGTTCTGACACCCCCTCATTAGCAGTCGCTTGGCAGTCAATTTTCTATAGTCCCCCTTTATACTCTCTTGGTGACGACTGATTCTCCCTTCCTTTCCCCCATGTGATCATTCCCCCCCC